GATTTGGACATTGCTTGTTTCAACACACTCGATAAACCGAAATCAGTTAACTTTGCAACGCCTGATTTGATAAGGATATTACTCGATGACTAGGAAACAAACGTATGCGTCAGTTTAAGAAAAAGTGAGTTTAAAAGACACAATCGAGACATGCGATAATATACCAAATCTTTGTGAATAATGTCAAGGTCATGTAAATGTTTCAGTCCACTGGTAATACCTAAGCCCAGTTTGTATTTGTCTTCCCAAGTTAAGCTTTCAAAGTGTTTCCTTAAATGTTCACGCAAGCTTCCACCATCAGCCAGTTCAAACATCATATGATAATGTTCTTGTTTGTCTGTATGTGTTGAAATACGATAGCGATTAAAAAGCCATTCCTTGTAATAATATGAAACAGATTACCTTTGTCAACATACCTTTGTATAAACCCAAAAAACGAATAATGTTAGAGTGGTTGTTCGCTTCCTGATGGTGTTTTAGCTAACGTATGGTATCCACTCAAAATTAGTCCAAGTACGAAATAATGCATGTCGAATGATAATAGGCTACCTCTTTGACAAATGATTGATGCAAATCTTCTTCACAATCTCCATGTTGATAAATCAAAACTTTCACTGCAACAGTAGTGTCTGAGAAAATGGTAGACTTTCTGCCCAAAATGTTCTTGGCGATGTTTCCAATGCTCTTCTTTATCGTTGCCTTGTATACGACTCCAAATGCTCCATTGCCAATAGGTAAAGTGTCTAGCCTTATGCCATTTTCTGGACAGCAATAGATTGAACCTTCTTGAATGCTTGACTCTAGCCATTTTTTATAAGATGTTTCAGACATTGTCATTGCTAGTAGACGTAAGCAGCCAGCGAATGATTTAATAAATGTGACACAGTTGTGCAGTGTAACATAGTGTGTCATCTGTGACAAACAGTATATTACGGTTGTTGATTCTATCTTTTATTTACTTATGCAAATTTTGGTTAAACATTCTTATTACCATATGTTACTTAGAAAAGTCTTTTTGTGTCACTGACTTATGACTATCAGTTGTAAAAAGCAAAACATTTAATATAATAAGTCCCACACCACAAAGTCTATCTGCTAATTCCAAATTCTTTTATAAGAATCTCAGCAGGAAACTTATCAACCTGGTTATAATTACAAGTTTGTTTGTCACTCACCTTTCAAATTCAAAAGACATGGAAAGTTAGAATCAACTCTTTTTCCGAATATTTAAACTCTCAAAATGACAAGTTAGAATCCGCTTTGTCCAAACTGATCAAGTCTGTTATTCAATTATGACCATCTTATATAACAAAAAGGAAGGGTAGAAGTAGATTACGAACTAGAACGATTGACGTGTTATTAATACTAATACAATATTCACCGCGGTATTCGTCACATAAAATTCACTAACTTGTTTGTTACGCTTTTTTTAGTAAAATTTCCAACATACAACACAAAGCCTCCATTCTCGCTTTTGGAGTGTCGATTTGGTAAATGTCGATATCATACACGTGAGTCTCGGTCTAACGACACGCTCGTAATGTCGAGTTCGTCCTTATATCGCGAATTTAAATTATATATGTATACGGCAACTGAGCAGCATAGATTTCTTTTCTACAATTTCTGTCGTATAATAGCAGTGTCCTTATATCGAGATGCACTTGTAATAAAGCAAACGAAGTTTGCAAGAGCGGTCAATTGACATATTAAAATTTTTTTTCCAGTCATATAGAGGGTGGGTTTTCTTTTGCAGCCATTTACTCGAAAATCTATTATTTTATTATCATAATAATGTTTATAATCACTGCAATAAAATAATAATAACGATATTTGAACGTACTTTATCGCGAATAACTTATACAAAAATGAGCATAAATTTTAATATCGGGTACGTAGAAGCGCTTTTTATGTAAAAATATCTATCTTAAAAGACATATTGTGAGTAACGTCTCGAAGAAATTTATACGTAATTATAATCACGGCCATCAACCTGACTGCATCAAGGTAAAACCATGAGTTCAAACTCGAAATTTATATTTTTATTAGATAAGGATAAATCAGAGAAACAATCAAGTCCTGTTGTTGATCATGATCATGTATATCGGAATTACCATCCTCGCCTTGTGTTTTAGATCCACGCACACGAATTGCTCTGAAGAGACTTGATTAAGAGATATCTATGTGTTGATCATCAGTATACCACTTGGAGATATCACGATAACGATATGTATTATACATCGCAAACAATATGTCAAGAAACCATGACCACTTGGGTTGATGGCCATTTACGCATCTGTAGTATTCTGTCTTGAACGGGCGGGTAAGAGTATGACTCGATCAATATAGTTTGCAATATATTGGATATTAATATGATAATTGAACGACAGCTATTTTGCAATTGGAACAATGACGTCAGAATAATAAATTTTACACCTCTCCTTACGCACTATGTCATGCTTCACTCCATGGTTGTCAACGTACTAACAGGAAGGAGACCTAAAAACCTTGACAGTATTAGATGCATCGCTAAGTTAATAACGATATCAACTTGGAAGTGGGATTTCGTAATTTCTTCCGGCAAATACTGCCAATGAATGTCAGGGCCCGTCAGATGCTTCAGATGGATGATGAGCATTCATTCAAAAGAGGGCGGCGGGTAGAAAACTACTCTCTTAAATAACAAAACATACTTATCGGGGTTGGTGATACCATAAGTTATTTTATACATTAAAGTAACTCAATTACATGTTAACATTGATCACTGTAGCGTAGGTAGCTCGACCAAATACCATTCATGTAAGATGATTCTATGATTAATCGATGACAACAATCGCAAGAAAGAAGTCATCCTCCGCAAATAGCAAGGCCAGTACATTACATCTCTATCTAGTAAGGAGGCCATATTAAGTGTGGTCAAAAATACAGCTCATCGGCAACGACAAAAATGCTACATCCAAATACATACGTGTGATTTATAGGCTACTAAATTGTCCAACCAGAGACTTGACCGAGTCAACTTGCTCGATTATCCAACAATTCTTACTTTTTTACGCATTTTCTCTTTCTCCTCTTTTGATTCACCCTCCGTCGCTGTGTCAATGTCTCTCTTTTTCAACGCCTTTACTTTTCGAGTTTGGATGCTGTCAAAGTTTTGCTTTCCAAGATGAATCTTGGCTATTTTATCACCCATATCATTAACATCGACGTTCTTAACTTTCTTGGGCTATTGAAACAGGTAGAACGTATATTAGTTGAAAACAAGCATTGTTACTTGTAACGTGATCTCCTCAACATTACGGTCGCCGTCATCATACAAAGCGGTTATCCCAATACCATTCAATACTTACTTTTAACTGTTTCGGTATTCGAGTCGCCTTTTTGTACACTTCTTCTTTAGCAAACTTTGTCCTTCTGATGACAAAATCAAACGACGGACCCATATCTTCTAGTTCCACGCGTGGCGTCCGTTGTCCCGACTTGTTCAGCTTTACAATATAAACTCTAAAATATACCTTTCCGCTCGAATCAGCACTGACCGATATGACATGTTCAAGTCCGGTGGGACTTATAGAATCGGTTGACTGGCCACGGAAGAAATCGAGAAGCATGTTCTTCAACATTTTGTGGTTTATAGAGTTGTCAAAGATCTCTCCGTTAAAGAGAAATAACGGTCTCACTCCGACTTGACATTTTGATGTCTAAACAAAAGGAAATGAGTTGAAAGTAAAGAAGAAAGAAAAACACTGTCGATTGATTGAATGATGATTACTTCATGCGCGCGATCATACACAACTTACTTTGATATCTTTCAACGATACGGACTTTTCGATTCCAATTTCAACCATATCCAGCACTTGCCCATCAAACATTCTAACAAATACAAGATTATGTGGTCTCTTTTTCGAATGCATTCCAATAACAAACAGTGAAGCGTCATTCTTCTGGCAGAAAAACTGTAGCGGTGTTTCGTCATCAAATGGATGTATATCATTTTTCTTACTAAACATCATCGCATTTGGCTTCTTTAATGCGCACTATCGTATTGGCAAGAATTTGATCAAAATTAAAAGAAAAAGTCATTATAAAATAATAACGAGGCCACCGAATCAATAGATCAAGAGAAATCGCATAGAGAAAAGCCTACAGATCTACCAGTACAGATCCCTATCAGATCCATTGGTTTGCTACTTACAAGGTCAGCTAGAGCAGCATTTACTATTTGACTTGTTTGACTTCCCCGAATGAATATTGCCGTTTTGGTGTTCTCTTGCACCTTTGGTTCTCTTTTCTTCAATGCTCGAGCAGATCGAGCAGTTTTTGGTTTTCTGTGTTAACAAGGTCATGTAAGCAATGTCTTGTATTGAGAAAGCAAACATAACTCGGTATACAAGAATCATTAACATGCGCACATTACTTTTAACATTCTTTGTCAGAGCGAGATCAGAAAAACTTTTGTTCCAAGGTAGTTTGGAATGCGTAAAATTTTGGCTTGCCGATCATTAACGAATATAGACCATTACTCCAGATTGCCATCAAATTTACGACACTACAGTGAATGTTGTTTTGCTAATTCACATATTAACAAAAGAATGTTAGGCGTAAAATATTTAATCTCACTGTTAGATTGTTTCGGCCGGAGAGAGCATTACAATTTTTTAGTTAATTGCGTTGTCGATATTACTTGTCAGGCTTAAAAATCATCATATGTAATAAACTTATTGTAAACCAAACATAATACAACATTGCGTGCGTGCACATAAAGTAAGACAGCAAAGGGGTGTTCAACAATATGTCGGCGGTCGCAGTCATCCGGGAGATTGATAACTTGCAATCCAATCTTACTTAATTACAATTTTTTTGAGGACGTTATAATTCTACACATAATAATAATTATTAAAATTGTTTGATCTCTGTTCCCAATCCAATTGTGTGACAATTGTCTATTGCCTACAATAATATGGATTGTTTAATTATATGTCTGTAAATTCGGTAAGTAGTGCAATATATGTTTGTATTTTTATAAATAGAACAAGTACTGGACACTTTATAAGTACTACACAATTAATTCCGAAAATGTTGTTAAAAATTCATGATATTGTAACAAACAGCATAATTTAGTCGTTTTGTCGTCTTTATTCAAATTTTTTTAATAGTAAATTGTATTCTACAATCTTACGTCAATAAAATTACACACAGTGTTCGAATAGAATAGAAGCATTTACAACTCGGATTTAATTCAAAATTAGTTTTCGCATTATCTATCGCTACATGATAGTCAGGCTTCCAAATAAACCATACAATAAAATCGCAAAGAAAAAAAGTGGACCACTGTTCCACTCTTTGTTTATATCCGCTGAAGACTTTGTGACAACTACAGTGGTTAAAGGAGAACCAGAAGTAGTCGGTTGAGTTGTACTTGATGGAGGTGCTGGCGGCGGAGCCGTGGGTGCTGTAGTATCAATATCGATAGTAATGTAAATGGTGTTTGGTCCGGGATTGCTTACAAGCAGACACCAAGTTTGCAACGGAAGTGAGGTGCTAGGTGCAGTTTGATTGCAGGTTTGTACACAGGTGTCGAAGCTTTGCGTTTAGAAAAAAAAGGTAAAGTTGAACAGTACAACTGGTTTTAGTCTATGTTTTTATGCAATGCGCACTAGACTCACATAATCGTATAATATTACTTGTTGATATATCAAACTAATCTACACATATAAAAACAATTCTGCTGTCTTACTAACCATGACAAACTTTCCACAGTGACGGAAAAAGTACTTGCATTCGTATTAAGATAAGTATAAAGATCCGCCGAAGATAAAACGTCTGCAAGCATTCCGTTACAGGGTGCAGAAGTTGGTAAGGCAGCTCTGCCTGAGACAGTACCAAAATTTGGTGTCACAGAAAGTGCTTGGTTTGATATCGAAACGATGTAAGCTATATTTACCAAGGCAAGGAAATTTGGTTGAGCAATGGAATCGCTGCGGGTTTAAATAAAACGTTACTTTGGAACTATGCACTTACCAAAGTAACTGGTTTGCTGTGTAGTACATATCCACCTTTTTTGAAAACATTATTACGTTAACTGTCTGATTGGAGACTGACAGGCATCTCCCACGATGAATTTATGCCGGGTATTTATCTTACCATGAAGTCAAACTTAGTACACTAGTGTTGCCCGATAAGCTTTGAGCATTTATTGCAATTATCTAAATATATAATGATATTAAACGGTTGAGCAAAAACAGGATTCCAACCCTATCGCCGTCCTTTAACCTGCTTACCAAAGGAAACAAAAATAAAATGCTTTTAACTAGGGTTTTCATAATGTTGGGTCGTTAGTGTGAATTTTAATTGTGTGCGAAAATCGGTTCATCAACTAGCGATGAAAAAGAATTGTTTCGTTTTCTAAACTGCTCATATTTTTTTCAATTATGTGCAGGCAGGGTTGCAGCCTATGGATCGTCATTTATATACACAAGCGTAATTTATCATCTGCAATTAAGCGCAGGGCAACAAAGAGAATTAATAATTTGTAACGTTTGTCAGGCTAGTTTTGTCTTTTGTAATTCGTGTTACAGAACAATAATAGAACTATTTGTGTTGAAAGAAAGACAATGAGTAAATAAAAAATTATTGGCTAAGTGCGCAGCACCATTTGTATTGTGGACGAAATGAAAACTGATAAAACTGATAATCTGACAACGACATGATTTAGCTTTTAGGATTGTAGAATTATTCATAAAAAGGTTTTAAAGCAAGTACTTGTAGAAGATACAATGGCATAAGATGTATGTATGCACACTAGAATTTACTGGCTGATGCAATTAGGTAAATATTCGCTACGCTATTGGATATTGTATTGCTATACGTTAGAAAGGGCACGGAAAGCATATTCATATCTGGTTGGTAATTGGCTGAATGACTCCGTATATTGTACTACCATAAGTATCGGTTGACTATAATTGTTAGTACACGGATTAGCTTCTCCGATCACATACAGTATAATATTCCCCTGCATACAATGCTATACAACTATGAAAGTTTGGACGCCTGCTATTACTCTTTTGCTGTCTATAATGGATGCTATGCCATAACCAGGTATACAATGCACGGGTCGTCTCAATAGAACGGTCAAATAGTAAACATTGAAAGAAACGTCTATTATCAAAGTAATAAAAAAAATTATAATTCTATGCTACAATAACTGAAAAACTTTATGGTATTACGCCATCGAAAACTCATTATTTGCTATATAAAGCTTTTTTAATAAACAGTTACAACAATTAGTCACTAGCTTTTAGCACTATCTATACATAACATTAAATTTTTCAAATAAACCATAAAATATGATCCCAAAAAACAATATTGTACCGTTCCATTCAATCTTTCTAACTGCTGAAGACGTGATCGTCACAACCGTAGTCATAGCGCTAGGAGTGGTTGTACTGGAAGTACTGCTTGAAGTTGCAATTGGCGTCGTCGATGTTGTTGTGGTTGGATCCGCAAAATTCATATTAATACTAACATATATGCCGTTTACTTTATCGTCATTGCTCACAAGAAGACACCAAGTACCCGCTGGAGGTGGAGGCTTCGGATTGGTATGATCACAGACTTGTACGCAGTAGTCCCGACTTGTCATTGAGAGAGAAAATAACGTAGAGAGTGATATAAGTGGCTAGTCAATGTATTGATGCAAATGGCGTGGGACATCCGGAGCGTGACATCTGGAACATAACGTCCGGAGTATAGCCCCGAGAATACTAATCTAAAGATACTATTTGCTATATTGTCAATGAAATTTTTTGCATCTTTTACTTACCATGACATCTCTGGTAGAGTTACGTTATAGCTGGTTACATTAGGTGCAAAAAGAGTTTGAAGATCTGCCGGAGATAAGACCATTGCAGTTATTCCTTTTGTGCATACTCCATACTTTGGAATACTAGCTCCGGATATAGTAGAACCAAAGTTTGCTGTCGTAGTGAGCGCTTGGGTTGACGTTTTTACGATATAGGCTGTATTTGAGCAGCAGAAAAATGTTGAGTAATGAATTAAAATAAATAATTGTCTTGAACTATACTTACAAAAGTGACTAGTTTGTGGAGAACACATCCACCTTTTTGAAATTGTCATAATAAGTAGTTACGTTAAAATGTGTATCTAGGCCTAGCCATAGGATTACGTTCTCATCTTATCTTACCACGAATATACAGAAGCCAAGTAAATATTGCCCGATAGTGATTGGGCATTTACTGTAATCATCTAAGTGTAATGACGGTATTAAGCAAGTAATCAGAGACAAAAAATCCAACACTATTGTTATTTCAACCAACTTACTAAAGGAAGTAATACGAATAAAACACTTTTAACTATATTGTGCATATTGTCGGTTATCGCGTAAATTTTATAAACAGGTTTATCAATAAGCGAAAACTGTTTATTTAAAAATCTCATTATGCTCTCTATTTATATACAAAAAACATTGTCCTTGTTGACTATTGTGCCATGTGTCAGATAATACATTTGTAACATTAATAGAAATGTCATCCAATTAACAATCATCGAAAGCTTTTTATACGACAATAAAAAGCAACTTTACGTAAATTTAAGATCTTCCCTGCATACAATGTTTTGGTATCAACAAACTCTCACAACTACGGGGTAAGGTTAGGTTTAACGATACACTGTGATTACTTGAATTACTTGTGATGTAATTGATTTATAATGGTATGTTATGCCATAATGTCATAATAATTATCAGGCTGTCTTACTTGGTCAGCGTAATCGACTAAGCACGGCCGTTTTGATGTAATTAATAACAAATGTTGAATGGACGAAGTCAATTTTGCATATCCAAAAGACCGTTCCGTTCCAATTTGTGCCACAATCCCTGATTGGCGGATTAAAAATCACATGATGGAAACAAATGGGAACAGATGGGAACAACAAATTTGCAGTTCCTATCTGTTCCCATCCTCATCCCACACACGTTTCATTAATAAGCGTAAAAAATAAAAGGTTATGTTGCGCAGAAGGGTTCTAATGGCTTTTAGAAATAAAGAATAACACTTGAAATCTTGGAGTGAAAAGAAAAACAACGGAACATAAACGTGAAATTTGTCCTCAATTCTCACGGATTTTTGATTGGTTGATACAATTTTGCCGTCGATCGGAACAGAACGGAACGGAACAGAATTGAACAGGCCTACTGTTGTATTGTATGTAAATTAACAAATTAAAAGTGTCGGCTCAATGCTTAAGATATTTATTAAAACTAATTATTAATTATGTGTTACTATAATTAAAAGCTTTACGATAAATTAAATCCATTTACGTTTGCAAATTCGTTCGTTTTTTACTAAATTATAAACAGTCAGTTGGAATTGAAGATCTGTCTGAGATAAAATTAGTGCATTCCACTCTATCTTGCGTAAGCACGCACGGTACACAAATTTTATACAGTATATTAATATCAAAAACGAAGAATTGGTTACGTATAACAGTACAGCGTACAACTTCTGTAGTAGTACATGTGATAGAGTAAAATTACCCCCTAACTGTAAACGTAGAATATTCTCTTTTTAACGTGTACAATGCTGTATTCCCGTGCTCCATGTAGTGCACCCAGGTGCGGCAATTAGACGTGCACACTAATAGTAGACGCAAATATGTAAAAACCAATTATGGAAATTAAAAGTCTTAACAATTAGTTATAGAAAACACAATTAAAAAAAGATACTAATTCTACTCAAGATAAAGTCAAAATGTTTATGACAAATGAGACATGTCTTTATTCTTGGAAAAACGACACGGAAAATGTCAAAGTAGATTTTTTTTAGATTACATTTTCTCATAATATTAATAAGCTATATATAATATTTTGAAACGAAAAATTACAAAAACTGCGGATTGTTTAAAAAATGACAAAGGTCAAAAAAATATTGAATTAAAAACCCATCACCAAAAAGAAAAAAAGCAAAATGTAAAGATATTTGCCCCAACAAAAACC